TTTAATATTCTGCCCAAAGAATCCTTGATTACAGCAACTCTAGGTTTGAATCTGTTCTTCAGTTCCTTGAGCTTAAGAAATGCTGAGCGAGTTCGGTCCTTTTGATTTTCTGACTCTAGCTCCTCGCACATTTCAAAATACTACAATGTAATACTATACGTGGGTGTTTTGTGTCTCGCTTCTTTCCCTTAGCACAATGTTTCTGAGGCGCATCCCTGTCACAGGATTATTAAATAGTTTTGTTGTTTTTTTTAAATAATCAGATAGTACTGAATTGTAGGAATACACTACCTTTTGTTTGTCCATCCATCAGTTTGTGGGCATTTGGGTTATTTCTATCTTTTGGCTATTATGGTTTTTTGTTTGTTTATTTTCTTTGTTGTACCATCGAATTAGATCCGACTGGCACAGGAGTAGATTACCCCTCCTGCAGCATCTGGTGGATTTGAACTGCTTGCCTTTGTGATTGCAGCACTGCTTCTTGCCACTAGGCCACCAGAGCTCTCTCTTTTTGGTTATATAAACAATGCTCTTATAACATTTGTGTGAAAGCTACTGTGCAACAAATGCTTTCATTATTCATTACTTTTGATGTGTATGTATAATAAGGATGACAGAAGAATTGATGCTTCGAGTTGTGGTGCTGGAGAAGAGTGCTGAACACCCCAGGGAGGGCCAAAAGAACAAACAAATATGTCCTGGAGAGGGTGCAGACGGAGTGCTCTTTGGAGGCAAGGTTGGTGAGGCTTCACCTCATACGCTTTGGGCATGTTGCCAGGAAGGCCTGTTCTTTTGGAAAGGAATATGGTGCTTAGAAAAGGGTGAGGGTCAGGAAAGGAAGACCCTCAGCCAAGCGGATTGACGCAGTGATGCTGCAATGAGCTTTAATGTGTCAGGACTCAAGGTGGAATTTATCCTAGGAATGCAAGAAAATCAAATGTAAGATACTTTATCAATAGAATAAAGGACAAAAATCCATGACCATCTCCATAAACACATAAAGAACTCCAGACAAAATCCAATATCTCTTCATAAGAAAATACTCAACAAATTAAGAATAGAACAAAGTTCCTCATCTTGATAAAGGGCATCTCTACAACATCACAGGTAACATAACAGTGTAAGACTGAATGCCTTCCTCCTAAGAGCAGAACAACAGGGACGTGCACTTGCCTCTTCTATATTTTATGTTGTACTGGAGGTGTCAGCCAGGCTATGAATTATTTCTCAACTATAACACTGAAAACAGATAACAAACTGGACACCGTCAGTATGAAAAACTTTAGTGCTTCAAAAACTTTAGTCCAGCTCTCATCTGCATAGCCAGTGATCAGAAAGACTGAATCAGATGCACCTTAGTCCTCAAACTGACATACTGACTCCTCAATCATTTGGACAAGTCAAAACCCATCAGCTTTTAGGTTCCACTAGTTGCTGATTTATTGTGCCATTGTTTTCAGTGATGCCCAGTGGCAGAAATTGTATCATAGTGAATCCAATTAAACTTGGACCCTTCTGTACAGGTAATTTTTTAAATTCCCCTGTGGGAGGCTTCTCTTAGCCTTCTCCCTCTTAGTCTATCAACCTAGATGCTCTACATAAGTTTAGCTTGTTGTTTTGTTTGGGTTTTTTTTTAAAATTTTATTATTTTTGTGTGAGTGTACTGTCAAATCAGATCTGACTGGTACAGGAGGAGATTGTCCCTCCTTCCCCAGCAGAGCATCTGGTGGATTCGAACCGTGTGCCTCTGGGATTGTAGTTACAGCTCCTTGCTACTAAGCCACCAGAGCTCCCCTTTAGCTTGTTGTTTTAATTGCTTATCACCAACACCTCCATTGTGTTCACAGCAACCTTGCATTGAACTTTTTCTGTTTGAAACACACCCTTTCAAATGGAGTCAGTTTCTCTGGGAAGAGCTTTGGAGCTTTCAGTTCTGATGCATTCACTCCCTCTTGGCATATTCCTCAAGTCCTGCCGGCTCTGGAGCTGAGGCCGTGGACAGGGTCTCCTTCTCTAGACTCTGGGTGAAAACAGAAACCTCCAATCTGCTCAGCTTGTTTTGCCCACTATTGAACCTCTGCCCAGCAAGCAAGAGTAATCAGGCAACACTCCACTGTCCTCAACCTGCCACTTCTGGGCACTGGGCTCTTGCTGTACGAGTGGGGGTTCAGTGAAGGATATTTCTTGAGAGCACAGGAAAGAGTTGATGGGGAAATGTTCACATGATTTGGGCATCTGGCCTAAGGGGTAAAGAACTTGCTTTTCCTGCCTAGAACATTCCCACCATGTCCACTCCATGGTACCCAGACAGCTGACTTCAGATCCAGAAGGCATTCTGTCTCCTGCTTGGAAAGACTTGCCTCCAGGCATCCTTTTCCCCACAGATGGACGTGCCACCCTATCAACCAGCATTAGCTCTCTGACTATATATATGCACCCCAGGGTGCAGAGTAAGGGGTCTGTCCTACTTATTGTTCTTTGCCATCATGGGCTCTCCAAGGTTTCCCAGACTGTGATCTTTACAGAAGATTTCCATATCTCACCTCCCATGGAGCTGCTGGGGGCAGGAGTGGTCTGAGCTGCTAACTTTTTGGTAACTGGCTGAGGGCTGCACCGTCTCACTTCCTTACTACCATAGCCAGGACTCAGGCCCAGCAGCAGAGGACTCCATCTGCTCACAGCCACCCGTATCTTTGTGCTACCAGTCAGCCCCAGACCATAGGTGCATCTGAGCTTACACCCTGCTCAATCTTAACACCAGTCCAGATCCTTCGGTTGCACTCACTTGGCCATCTCCCCAAGGTATCCATCTGCCCCTGAAAGAGCAGTTCCAGAGAGTCCCAGCATCCCCTGCGGCCTCACAGTCCTCTAGTCCATGTAGCTCCTTTCAGAACATCCCACTGGTTCCAAATAGCTGGACCTGAGGATTTCATCTCCAGGGAGCTAATGGAGCTTCAGTTCAAAGGAACAAAAATGAAATTCAAATGAGTCCAAGTCCCTGTGAGGCGGCGGAGAGCACAGGGAGGAAGGCAGCTTTGTGACTTGGGCCTGGACTGTTCAGAACTGATACCTTGCCTGGGCCTCGTCTCCACTTCTGAATAGACCGCCTCACTTCAGTCTTCCTTCTCCCTGGCTTGGGGACCACAGAGATCAGCAGCTCAGAGCCAGCACCTAGTCATATCCTTTGAGGGAGGAAATGAGATCTCAGGGAGTTTACAGCTGTCTGTCTTCTTCACAGGGAGTCCTGGTGGTGTGATGGGTATATGTCTAACTAAAGGTTGCTGGATTTTTCATTAGCTGGTACTTCCAAACACTTCCAGTGCATTGAGGGCAGACCTGGCAGGCTGTTATGATAAAAACAATGGCCTCAAGCCTTTTATGGGGCAATTCTATTCCATGACAGGGGGGTTGTAATGAGTGAAAAATCAGCTCAACTCTGTTGAGAGTTGGACAGTAGCTAAATTGTTTGGAGGCAAAACCAAGAGTGTTAAAAGTCAAGTTAAAATTGTAGTACACCTTCCAGTTTCAGCGGGACCTCATCAAACTATTAGAGCACAGTCTCAGTCCATATAAGATCAAAAACAAGAAGGAAAAAGCTCGTCAACCTAATTCAGTTTCGGGACGTGGGACTCCATGGCATCACGAGCCGCTGCCTGGAGAACTTCCGGGAGCATCACTCTATTGGCCTAAACATCATTCTCCTGTTTTGCAGAGAGCAGGCCCCAGGAGGAAAACACTGGCTACACACCCCACGACCCCCGTAACCCAACATCTCCTCCACGCTCCTCCTTTCACCTCCACTCTCACCTCCCACCTTCTTTCTCAGCAAGTCAGAGGTGCCCAAGGTTAGCAACCATGAGTCTCTGAGGCTCTAACCCCAAGCTGCAGCTCGCTAAAGAGCCTCTGAAATCGCTGTGCAGCCCCCGGTGCTTTGAACAGACATTCTTGTTCTGCCTTTATGTTGTGAAAGCTAAAAGGCCAACTAAGTATCGACAACGAATACCCGGTAGAGGTGAGCTGGAATCTGCTCTCATGCAGTGCGCACAGGGTTTAAACAACCACATCACAGCCGTGGTCCTAGAGTCCTCGTCCTGGCTCTGCTCTTTCCTATAGGAGGGTATGGCTGCTGGATGGATTTCACGACTTCCTTCAACAGCCACTAACAGCTTTGGAGACCCTGTGGACCATTCTATTCTGGTGGACAATCATGAGTCGGAATTCACTTGCCCAGCTGTGGTGTTTACTATTACTACTATTATTATTAATTATTATTACATCATCAGCTGGAAAAGGTTCCTGCCCTGTCACTTGGTAATTCCACTTCCAGGAGTCCATCATAAGAAAATACCTAGAGGTGAGTCACAGTATCCTGGGAAGCTCTGGGGCCACCCCAGCACATCCATTATGACAGTGAGGCCATTATTGCATCATAACCCATGAGCCTCAAGACTCTCATCGCCCTAGAATTGGGGTGATCCGTTTCTGAGCCTCCAGCGGGTTTTCAGAGGCTGTAAATCTCACAGGAAAAGATGCCCCTTCTTTCTCCTTCAGAGGAGATGGTGGGTTCGAACCCGGCGCGCAGTGCTCCTTTGGGTTGGCAGCACACCCCCTACCCACCCCGCCAGTTTATTACGTGAATGATTGGGAACTGGTTCATCATGCTGTGCTGAAATGAGCCAAAACGTAGACGTGGAACGTGTGTGCCCCGATAGACTGAATTCTGCGCGTGGTGGGGCTATGGTTTCCCCACTCCCTTGTGGGATTTTCCTGCCTTATTCACTAATTTTATGATCAGACACAAAAGATGAATCGTTGATATTTTTGGTCTGTTTGCTGAGTTTGGGTTTGCCGTTGGGGAAGAGAAGCTCCTCCGCGGAGCCTGGGCGTCAGGGAGGAAGGTGCCTGGGCTGTGCGCCCTCCGCCAGGATGGCCGGTGGCGAGGAAGCGGCTGGACAGGGCTTTCGATGTGGGTGTGGGTGCCGGTGGACCACAGGGAGCCACTGGACGGGAGGGTCGAGGTGGGGAAAAGCCAACGAGTTACAGGTTTGCGGCCGAACTGTGGAGAGCAGTTCCAGACACACAGAGTTCCACGTGCCCCCCAAAGTTCCACAGCACCATCGGTCCTCGGTCCTGGGGTGTGGAGAGGGCGTGGGAAGAGCCTCTTCCTGGCCAGCCTCACTCATGTCTGAGAAGCCGAGGAAGAGAGACTCTTTGAAGGTCATCTGGGGGGACACTGGCTCAAGGTAGGCCAGGTGGGAAACCGCGGGTGGGGGGGCATCTGCAGGCTGTGCTGCGATGGGGAGCGGCAGGCCCTGGGCACCGATTGGGACATCCTTCTGCCGCCTCCAGCCAGCCCCATTCCCTACAAACAAG